CAGGTAGGACTTGAAGGTTGCTACCGGTGCCCGTTGCTCGGGATATTCAGAGGAGAAGACGTGGTTCGTGCTTCTTCTGTTTCCTGTTTTCAAAACAATTATAACAATGCTCATGGATGCTATTTTCCGAATACTTACTTTGGGGGCTTGTATGCCTAGTTATGCCAAGTGTGGCTTGAACAATTGTATTAATGCTTCTGCTGTTTTAAATGAATGTTTTACATTATGTTTGTTTATGGATGTACTATGTGTGAATGATATTCATGACGCCTTGTATAGTATGGATGAGTTGGACTGCGGTTGACTATTCGTACTGTACGGCGGGTTGTTGACGTGTCCGACTAGGTCCGGGGCGTGACACAGTCAACAAAGCACACACTGAACACTTCTCACATAAAGATTGGAGTTTGCCAGTAGCATCCTAAGCAGTTGTCTTTATTGACCCAACTGCTTATCCTATTGCTTAATTACTCACTCTCTTTGAGATACACGAGCTTCACAATATCACAACAAAAAGGTCTGCTTCATTAAGATTTCAGGAAATACTACTTAAGGCATGGCAGTTGCCTCAACAGTCTCCTAAGGACTACTCAACTGCTGAGCCCACTGCTCACACAAAAGTATTTCCTGTGCTTGACATTACTAGACCTTTACATCTTTATCTCTAAGAAGTCTGTTCAAAATAATCTCTGTGATTCAGGGTAATAACCCAGCAGGTACCTCAACTGTTCCCTCACTATCACCCAACTGCCTAGACCACTGCCTAAGCAAAAACCTCTTCTTACTTGGTCCAAAGCACGTCTTCAGAAAGCCCACATCATCCTGAGCAAAACCACATAATCAAACCTTCCATACCTGCTCACATCATCAGGAAGCTCTTCCCACTCTAAGAAAGACTCTAAATGCACCCTCATCATACTCCAAGTATTTCATAAGCAGTCGACTAAGCAGTTCCCTGCTTTCTAGCCAACTGCCTAGCCAACTGCTCACCAATAAGCAAAGACTTCATCCATCATAGAAAGCTGTTACACATTACATAAAGGGTAAAGACTTCCGTTGTGCATCTATTAATCTCTCAAAAGATTATAGATCAACTCTTCTAGAGGGAAAACTTTGTAAAGGTCGAAAAGATTTTAAAAGTCTATTCACCCCCTCCTCTAGACTTTTACCCTATCCGGGACCATCAGATACCCCGTATTTACTCATTACCAGTAGCACACATAATTTGTACGTAAGTTTATTAAGTGGTGCGTTTGAAACTTCTACTCCTTACTTTTCTCATAGAAATTTTGGTGCACTCTTCCATTTCATTCACTTAGCTCTGATTCTATGGGAAACATCTCCAGCTAATTCACCATCCTTCTGAATATGTTTCGTTACTTGGGCTCCATAATTCAGAAGGATGGTAAATTAGATGAAGATGTATTGCATAGAATCATAGTTGTGTGGATGAAATGGAAGAGTCGTCAGGATTTCTATGCGATCGAGGTATACCGACTAGATTGAAAGGTAAATTTTATCGAACAACAATTAGGCCTGAATTAATGTATGGCATAGAGTCTTGGGCGGTGAAACAATATAATGCCGCATTCAAAAGATGAGTGTGGCAGAGATGTGTATGTTGCGTTGGATGTGTGACCATACCAGAAAAGACCGCTTGAGGAATGAGATAATCAGACAAAAGGTGGAAGTAGCACCTATCGAATATAAGATGCAGGAGTCTCGTTTGCGGTGGTTTGAGCATGTGCGTAGAAGATCGAGTGATGCACCTGTTAGACGACTTGAGGGGTGAGAGAAGAGACAGAGAGGAGAGCCAGGGAAAGACCCAGATGGACTTGGATTAGAGGAATGAGACTTGATATGCGTCTTCTTGGGTTGGATGAGAGTACGACTTTGGAGAGATCAAAGTAGAGGGCACATATTCGTGTGGATGTTTAATCTCTTTTCTGTCATCCCTCTCTCCTTTTCTTTTATCGTTTATCTTCTTTATCTTTTTATGTTCTTGTGTTATTTTTATCTTCCAACTTTTTATACTCTTTTATCTTTTTATCTTTTTAATATTCTTATGTTATTGTAATCTTATATTTATTTATCTTTATCTTATCCGTTTTATCTTACATTTTTTCTTCTTTTTCTTGTCTGTCTTCTCTTTTTGCGTCGATATCATGGATCGATTCATGTTAGCTGACCCCAAAGTCTTTTGGGATTAAGGCTTAGATGTTGTTGTTGATGTTAGGTACTCGCAATCCAAGAGCCCAACATAGTCTCTTGAGCTTTCGCATGATCTTTTATGTGCTTAATGAATTTAGTGAATGATTAGTAGTCAATATGAGAGCGAAATCAATAGCAAGAAAGAGAAAAGTAAAGTGGACCAAGTTCTATTGATGGACTTAGAAAAATTACAGCACACCCTTACCGAACCCGAACCCCGACCCTCTAACTCTAAGTTGCGAAGTTACAGAAAAATCTAGAGAAAGAACTTAAGCTATTGAATGCAAGTTTGTCAACCCTTTATCATGAAATAAATGCAAGTATTTATACTAAAAGGTAATGGTTGTGGTGATGCGGCGAGCGCAGGGTGACTGGCCTTCAACTATAAGAACTTTCACATCTCGTGTATTATATTCGTTTTCTGCCATTTCCTTGTTTTTCCTCCAACTTTCTGGTGGGCAAGTTGAATGCGTATAGATAACAGTTCAAGAACTCTTCAAGTGTTATGCCCTGCTCGGTCGGTGTCATTTGGCCCATGCTTTTCGAGATCGGATTTTCCTTCTAGGCTGTTGGATTGCCTAGCCCGCTGGGTAATTGGGCCTGTCTTATCCCGGGCCCAATACGTCCAACAATTTGTATAAAATCTTTAGTTATGTGCTTGATTTAGGATGATGAGATTGTACGGTTTCATTTTAGAAGGAGACGGTATCAAATATATATATAAAACATTTCTCATAATTTATCATTTCAAACTATATATATACTATAATAGGTTTCACTAATATCATTTATCATTGATGGAATGATGGGACATTGAATTATATTTGAATCCATTGATGAGTGTTAGCAATAGAAGAATTTAAAGTTGTGAGATACTTAGGTATTATTTTTTTAATTTAGAACTTTGGCCTTGAAAAATCAAATGCATGCTATATTATTGTTTTTGGAACTTGCACTAAAAAATAGTCAAATTTAAAAAACTCTGCAATCATACAAACGCAAACAGAACATGACAACCTTTTGATGTCCCGTTCCCGTCTATTTAAAATCAGTATGAGACAAATGGATTGGGTCATAACTCAGAAACAGAGCATAACAACACTGGGATTTGTGACCGCCCTACTTGTTACCTTTTCCAAACACGTTAAGTTTATACTACGTATTCTACATTTACCTCCTCTCTCTTACATGGATACACTTCTTAACGCTCTCCAAACAAACCAACCATATAACCTTCCTAAGGACCAAGGGACGCTCCTCTAATTTTTTTCTTCAATTTTTCCTACTAACATCACACTCCACCATTTCCACGATGTATTTCATTTTTCTTTTTTATTTTATACTATCTCTATTCTTTTTATGGTGAAATATGTTGAATTTTATATTTTTTTTGAATAATATTGTCAGATTAATGTTATTTTAAAAGTTTAAAATACGATTTTTTAATTTCTTAATAATAAGAAATGAAATATTAATAATTAAACTTGTATGTTGACAATAAATATTAGAACTATAAAAGAAGGGGTAAATATTTTTTATTTCCTGCCGGATTGAGGCTAGGAATATGAGGGTTTTCCTTAAATATTATTCCCTTCGTTCCACAAAACTTGACCAAAGTTGATTTGCACGTAGATTAATAAAGTCAAAACTATGTGATTGAAATTTGTACAGAGGAAAGAGAAATAACTTTAACCACATATTCCTTACTTTAAATGGAAATGACAAAGTTTTTTGAGACAGTCAAAAAGAAATTTGGTCAAGTTTTATGAGACGGAGGGAATACTAATAAAAATGTCATGCACATAAATATGACTTAATAACTATTAATGGTTAAGTAATATTTTTGTCTATCACATTTTAAAGAGTACTCCATATGTTTCTGAAAGATCTTCTATTTCGCTTTTCGAGAATCAACTTAAGTCACTCTTAATCTTTTACTTTATATATCAAAATTTTATGAAAATTGAATTTTTTTTGCAGTCTTTGTAGTGATTTTAATTAGTTTCTGAATATGTAAATTTTATTTACTAAAAACAATTTGAATCGATGAATCTACATAGTTGAATTCCATTATTAACGGTATTAAAAGAGACTTAAGTTAAGTGACTACATTAAGTAGGTTTTAGGGTTGCCGACTCAGGCGACGCCTAGCTTTTTGTCCGGCGGTGCTTCGCTCAGGCGAGTACGACGCCGAGAAGGTCTTTGTTATCGTGGAATTGTAGAGGATTGTACAAGAAGATGATGATTGGGGCAGAGGAAAAAGAACTGGATCTAGATGAAGTTGATGTTGAGGGTGTGACGGAAGAACGACGGGCACGTCCCCCTCCTGAGCCGCCGTCATGGAATGCAAGCAAATCTATGGTTTGGAAGAAGATGGGTGAACTCTATTTTAATTGCGTTTTATTCAGTTTGTGTTTTTCTGTCGAATTGCATGTTGTTTTGGATGTGTTCTTTTTTCCTAATAGAGAAATTCTGAAATTTAGGTTAAGTGATGAGAAGTCTGGTTTGCTAGTCATTGACTCAGTTATGCCCATACAAGATCAGCGAATGTTATTGCTTCTAGAGAGGTGATAGATTCTCAGTGTGTTTCGAGAGCGGACGACAAACATAAAGTTTTTTATCGTTTTGTTCACTCCTTTTTTCTTGATTGTATTATCAGCCATGTGATGAACATTATTTTGATTTTTTTTTTGATCAAACGAACGTTATTTTGATTTAATATATTAGTTGAATTTTATTTACTAAAAATAATCTGAATTTTCATATCAGAAATATAGAGATGGAAATAAAACCATTGTCTAAATTTTCCAAATATGCCTGTATTTTGATTGAAGACAACGCTACAAAACCCCGTTTTATTCCGACTCCATCTGTCTCTAGATGCTGGGTTACCACAAGAGTGATTTGCCTTCCTTCCTGCAAGGTAATTTTGTAGAAGAAAATCGTTCCTTTTTTCATACTTTTATTTTTGTTTCTCTTTTCAAACTTTTGGGTAATATTTCACAGTGTTTAGATTGTATATGGGTCAAGGATATTCGGTTGCATATGAAATTTGAAAAAGTCATCAAATTCTTGTAAAAAAACTTCAAGATTTAGGGAAGATCTTCAGAATTGGATTTGTCATGGTTTAATTCTTTAATTACCATGTTCTCCATTTTTCATGTATTTATCCTGAGAAAAGAAGAATATATCTTTAGATGGCGCTTGCTGGTACTTTGCAGTTGTTATACATGCACATATATTCCTAAACCGCTGTTGGGTAGGATATGGGGCACATTTTGCAGAAAATTTTTTCTGTTTCTTTTACATTGTCTGGCTTAACAACATATATTACGCATTTCCCCTGTAGATTGGTTGTGAATTGTCCGAGTAGAAGACAGATGGGAAAGGACAAGCCCCATGGTGATGACAAAGGGCTCTTTTCTCACATGGCTGGATATGCCATGGGACACTATCCTCCAAATGGATACCCTCCACCAGCACCTGGCTATCCTCCTCCAGCCCCAGGTGGTTATTCTCATATGGGCTATCATCATCCTCCAGCTGGCTATCCTCCTCCACCCTCATATCCTCCGCCTGGTGCATATCCTCCGTCCGGTGGATATCCCCCAGCAGGTTATCCTCCTGCTGGTTATCCTGGTCATTCAGCTCCACATCATCATGGTACGAGTTTTCTTTATTCTTATCCCACTTGTCACTGTTTTATCTATTCATGTCAGTAATGTTTAGCTTTTAGCTCGGTATTTGCCAGTTGATTCATCTGAAAGTCCGCTCCTTCAGATCTTAAATTTAAAAAGGGTGTTGGATTTTTTTTCAATACAATGGGGCTGGACTAACGTGCCTATGATAAAATTGGAACTTCATGGAGATCGTGTAATTTGAGGGAAAAGTTTTAGGAGTTGATACACCAGCTTGTTAGTACATGTACATCCATTTTCAACTCCATTTTTTGTTTCATGTTTATGTGTTGCATACTGATTTAACTACATATAAGTGACCCCGAACTTTATTCTTTATTTTCATCCGATTGAAACATGCTGCACAGTGGGAATACATTGCTCAATAGGAGCATACCGTTCAGTTTCCAATTCAAAATTTTTGTTGAGGAAAGTTTTCAATGTCCAAATCGTCAAGCATTTCATTATAGAGACATGAGTGCCTTTTAAGCGAAACTTCCAATTTGCCTCACATTTTGGTTAAAGAATGCTGGAGGGAGTCGTTATTTGGCTTATAAATAGAAATTTTTGTCTCTTTCTCAAAGTTAAGAATCTTATTATACTATTGTTTTTTCTTTCTGAGGCAGAGGTAGAAAAAAGGGAAAATAGGGATTTTCATGCATGCTAGAACCTCATTAAGGAGCTTGCATAGTTGTCATCATCACCACCTTATTATCAGCTGCATTGGCTTAGTAACAATGTTTTATGCCTAGGCGCCTAGCGCCCTTGCTGTTGTAAACTTCTAAAGAACAATTAATGAGATCAAATTTAAAAGCATTTCATCATCAAATACTCTATTTCTTTGAAGTCTTTCCACTTGCATTAGAAATATGATCAAACGATGATTAGTTGGGGCAGTTGCTATATTCATGTCTCAGTTGGTACATTCATATCCTGAAACTTGACTTATGGAGCTTGCATAGATGTGTGCTACATATAACCCTTGCATTGTGCATTTGTGCCGACATGGTATAGGCACAAATCCTGAGTGGGATTCATCTTGTAAAGGCATTCTTCATCTCATTATGTTTAAATACATAAAATATAATCATAATATGTAACTGTTCACAAGGACAGGCTCAAGTTGTATTCTTACCTTCCTAGCAAGAGAAAGCTGCCACTTTAACTTTTCAGTAGATAGCTGGGGAAATTGTTGAAATGCAACACAGTTTTATGAATTCATACTTTGTTGGAGCAGGGCAGGGATCTAGTGTTGGAGCAATGATAGCTGGAGGTGCTGCAGCTGCAGCTGCTACTTATGGAGCCCACCATCTCACCCACGGTCATCATCATGGGTTTGGTCATCACGGAAAGTTTAAGCATGGAAAGTTCAAGCACGGGAAATTCAAGCACAGTAAGTTTGGAAAGCGTTTCAAACACGGTCTGTTTGGAAAACATAAGCTCTTCAAACGATGGAAGTGATTTGTGCAAGAAAAGTCATTGTTTGAGATCACATGCTGTATTTGCTTTATTGTTTCTCTATGCTCTTTGGTAGTTCTTACCTTCCATGAGGTATGAACCCAGTGCAATTAAGTGTAAATGCAGGGGCGGTTCCTTGCAGCTGTAAAATTGACTTATCAACTTGTTTTCATGCTACAGAAGCAATAAAAACAATAGAGCCACCTTTTTCATGCTTCTTCTAAGTTCTAACACTGCTAGTGTTGGCATGTAAGGGAAGCAATGGAAGTAGTGAGACTGGGAGTGGATACTACTATTTTCTTTGTCTGGGTTTGTAAAAAAACAGAAATGTTACTGAAGGAAGTATCTACCCATTATCTGGCTTGTACTTCCCCTTTTAATCTCTTTTTTCAACTTTCCTTCCACTTTTTGGTTGTTAGATAATAAATGGTTTGAAAGTTATCTCTTGCACTAGCCTACGATTAACCTCTTAACTTTTTTATCAATTACACCTCAAGTGAGGTTTAACCACTACACTCCGTACTTTGAAAGATAAATCCATTATTCTTGCCTCCGATTAACCTCTTAGCTTTTTACCACTTGCACCTCAAATGATGTTTAAGCCGTTTAACCACTACACTCCTCTATACTTTCATTGCTAACCCTCATTGACACTAATCCAAACAAACTGTTAGGTGATGCACTCGTTGGGAGATTACAATAGCTTAAAACTTTTAAAACATATATTCTTTTCATAAATATTTTACAATAGCTTACAATAGTTTTCATATTCAATCAAGATTTTTAGGGCATTTTATATTCTAAATATCATTAGTCTTGTGAAAGTGTTAACTGTCAAGACTTTGTAGAAATAACAAAACGATAATATTGATATTCCATTGAGACTTATTAGAACCATAGAAGAAGTTCTTGTCCTAAAAGAACACAAATTAATTTTCAATAGATTGTCTTTTACAAATGGTGGGATATGTGCAACATTCTGTGTGGAATATGTGTGTAAACACAAATCTATCAAACCAAACAATCCCAAAACCAGAAGTAGAGTCTTGGGAGAACGAAATGCACATGCTTGTAATCAGTGACACATCCAGAAAATATTTTCAGTCACGCAAATTGGTACTACTATTACTATATTATCACACGCTATTCACACAGTCGATCACAATACAAAACATTATAAACACTATATTCTAAAATAAGCTATAAAAAACATCCATGCTATCACTTTGCCTTATGCGTGTGACATCCATCTAAGAGGTTTTCGTGTGTAGACAGCGTCCGTCCCCTTTTTATCAAACCATCTCCTGAAGTTATTCCAGTTTCTAACAGCGTATCCTATAGCTTCTATCTCACGTATTATGATTTAAAACATTATTGTTCGCTCGCTACTAGCTCTTTTCATATACCTCATGCTTACTGGGAGATAGTTGTTCTACTCTGAACATTGAACACATTGCGATCTTTGTTAGAAAAACATGGCATGTTTGGTATGGTCGTCGGTCTTGAGTCAGACCAACGAGGGTCTGCTTAGGAGTGGACTCGGGCCGGGCCAACCGGCCCGGAACCGGACCGGCCCGCTACTGTGCGGATCCGGACCGGCCCGGTGAACCGGTTGATGCCCGGTTTGGGCCACCCGGCCCGGTGAGGTAGGCGGACCGGGCCCGGGCCTCCTAAAACGTGAACCGGCCCAGCCGGTTCAGGCCCGGTCCGAGCCAAATTATTATTTTTTTCTTTTTTTTTTTTGAATTTTTTAAAGTTTTTGGGTTGGGCTGGGTATGAATGTATGATGGACCATTTGAGGTGGTGTGGGGTGGTTTGGGGGTGAGGGGGGAGGGTTGGGGGTTAATTAGGAAAAGCAAAAAAAAATACTCCCTCCGTTTCTGAAACAAGTTCCACCTTTCCTTTTCGAGCAGATTCAAAATTAAATTCCACTTTCAAACATTTCTTTATTATCTACATCAAAACTGTGTCAAACAGTGTCAAACAGTGTTCAAGCAGTGCCAAACAGTGTTCAAACAGTGCCAAACAGTGTTCTCCACAGTAAAGTCAAATTTATTTTCTTAATATGTGTGAAGTCAAATGTGGAACTTGTTTCAGAATCGGAGGGAGTATAAGAACCGAGGCCCGGACTAGACCGGATCGGACCCGGGGTTACCCGAGCCGGTTCCGGGCCTCCCCTTTCATGAACCGAAGCCCGGCCGGGCCCGAACCGGAACCGGTCCACCCCTAGGTCTGCTATTCTTTTTCTTGGATGAATTGCCAGTGAATGTATGAATTGCATGTATGTATGGATTGCTAAGTTCACCTGTCCTCATTTTTTGCTTAAGCATGAAAGTTTCCTGCTAGTTTGGTATTTGGTTCCTAATTGCTTGTGTTTGATTAGGTTACTCATGCACAATAAGTCCTCTTCACTACTAATTGTCTTTTTTTCATTTTATGTTTTAGCTTTTGGAGCTACCCAGCCACCCAGGGGTGGAGACAGGGGAGGCTGGAGGGGGCCTCGACCCCTGCAAGAAAAAATTTATGATGTATATAAATATGTATAAATATTTATAGGTAGTAAAGAATATAGTGAAATTTTAAACTTTGACCCCTACAACATAAATTCTTTAAGCCCCAACCCCCATAACCTACAATTTCTGGCTCCGCCACTGGAGCTACCTACACATCTCCCTAGGGATGGACTCGGGTCCGGGCCGGCGGTTCAAGAATGGTGGACTCGGGACCGGCCCAGGTAGCCACCGGGTCCGGTCCGGGTCCGGGCCGGGCCTCCGGTTTGGATTTTTTTTTTTTGCTTTCCTAACCCCCCCCCCCTCACCCCACCCTCCCAAACCCCCCCAAACCCATCCTACCCATCAAGCCCAACCCGGGTGGAACCCCAAAAATGAAAAAAAATAAAAAAAATTCAATTTGGCCCGGGCCCGGGCCCGACCCGGCCGGGCCGGTTCACCAAATTTGAGACCCGAGCCCGGACCCGCCCTACCCCCCGGGCCTAGGCCTGACCCGGACCCGGACCCGAGAAACGGGCCGGTCCCGGTCCCGCACAGTAGCGGGCCGGGCCGGTCCACGGGCCGGGTAGCCCGACCCGAGTCCAACCATACATCTTCCCATCACGATAGGGCACCTCAAGTATCAACCGAACCCATCATTGAATAGCTTTTCATTGAATTCAGATTAACCTAGACGCCTAAAGAAGAGAGGGAGGAAGGGATTAATACATGGGCTCTGGCCTTGGTTGCTGCATCAGCATTCATAGATACTACCAAAGAATGTTCAAAGACATAGTATGAACAAACGGGTGATAACACATAATGTTTAAAAGATTAGAAAGACTTGAAGAGATTTGACTCCCGAAAAAACCTAGAATTACAAGAGAACTAAACGTGCTAATCGATGGTGATCGCATTTTCTGGCGTACCACCAGAAATCTGCACGTCAAGTTCAGCAGGGAAGTCACCTCTGAGTATTTGAGCTTCAAGCTTCACCAAATCTTTGTCGATCTCCATGACCTCAAGAATCAACCCATCTCCATGTCTGACATTATTATTTTGCAAAAAGTCTTTCCATGTTGAAGAGTCCAGACTTTTTTTGTTCTTGTTTACACACAGAGTAGTCTTCCACGTATTTTTTCCATATGTGATCACCGCCGGGACACTTCCATTAGGAAGCTCAGAGTTCATTTCAGGTGGAAAGACCTAAAGGGCATAAAAAACAACTAAACTGCCTCAAATATAAACATTCAAAACAAGAAATATTTATTGAGAGAAAGCACTTCAATTATCAGAAATCACAAATAGTCCAAGTGATAACAAATAATTTAAATGAAATGGCATCAACCATACTCGATTCTGTATTATGGTGGCAGCTTGGCCAGATAATATTCATCTATTCAACCAAATGCTCAAATTTTTAATCTGAAATGTTATTATTACCATTTGAGGTATGGGTCTTTTTTTTGAGATGATGAAACCACAGAAAGGTCTCCCAGAGAGAGGCTGAACTGGCACATCCTCAAACTGAGGTGTTATGGAAGTTGGATTTGAAGGTAGTCTAGCACCTGCTTTTGCTGTATTGTTTCTCGGAGGTCTGCCCATTTGATAAACTTTGGCGGGTGCGCTCTCCTGCCGTACAACATAATCAGTTTTACAGTTAGAAGCAATATATGAGGAATGCTTGGTGCAAAAAAATAATTAAGACTTACTATACACGTTCTATGCAAAAACAACTCATAAACCAAGTGCTTGTTAAACATTTAATTATATTATTACTTGGAGCAGAGAGTTAAACCACATAGCTGGTTAGTACGAATGTGTTCATGATGTGCCTTTTTTCCCATATCTTTGTTTCCGAGACAAAGTCGGAACAAATCCTTATCACATATGAAATGAAATGATTCTTTTTAGAAGTACTTTTTCAATCGCCAATCAATATAAATGCCAAGTATAAAAAAATAAGCATGAACAAAACTATGGAGAGGGGATATATACGCTCCTAAAATATTGATGGAAGTAATATCCGCGGGTACCAAAAGGACAGGACGCTCCGATCAATCCTTTCTTTCTCGTCCAGTCAGGGGGGTGTGGACACACCTGCGCGGGTTACAGATATCCACCCCTTTTGAATTAGGCTTTCGCTGCCCCCTCGGTGAAAACCGTAATACACCCTGAGGAATTCCGAGCTACCAGATGAGCTAACCAGCATACTTTATATGTAAGTCTCATCTCCCCGATAGCCTACAGCTCGCGTAACCCTATTTCCAGTAGCCAATAGAAGCATCACACTAGTTGATTTGCCTTCTCATCTTTCACATACATCATACGACGATGAAAGGATGGACATGGATACCCTTTTCTCGTGAGGGAAACAGGGATGGGTGACATTTCCCGCTTACGCGGAATACCAGCATAAGCTGTCATTAGGGCCGTACTGCTTCAAATACTAACATTGCGACACGAAGGGTTGGTGCGGTTATTAAGAAAAGTGAGTTTATGTGGTTGATATTGAAATAACCTTCTATTATTAAGTACGGCTGGTACCATTTCGATGTGTTTCGATTATTTCGAACAAGAGAGGTTTGATGCTAACAACCTTGATATCGGAACACCTGGATAGGTGAACTCTTTTGATCCCCAGTTTCTATGGGGAACAAAGGACGATTCCCTCAATAAAAAAAAGGCATTGTTCATGAATTCTGCCTCCCATCGATCCAGCGCTTGTGGCTGCAGACATGCAACGGATCCGGGTTCGCATTAGCGCTCTGGAAGACAGGAAACGGGCCCTCCATTCTTCCTTCGGAAGTGTCAGGCCAATCGACCATAAGGTGAGGAGAAGAAATATCGAAAAGATTGAACGCCACCATTTAGTAATTCCAGCTCATAACAACATTAAAAGGAATAAACGCGCACTTGACTGGGTGGACAGTTGACCGGAAGAGAACTTCGATTCGCCCAGCCAGGCCAGCAGGCGGGCAGCGTGGGTATTGACATTATCTCTTTATTCTTCATGATATTGACCACATTTCTGATCCCTATTTGCATTTTAGTGGGTTGGTCTGGTATGAGAAGTTATGGGAAAGAGTATATTCGACGACCTCAATGGAAGAAGTCGTTTTGGCAAAATATGTTACGGCCACTAGTTGACTTTGCTTACTGGCATCAGATTTGGCCAAGCTTATAATCAACCAAACTGTCTGCAGCATCCATGGCATAGGGCACGGGCACTGCTAGGCGCTCATGCCTACTTTGAAAGACGATAGCTAAGCAAAGCAGGCAGATAGCAATGTATTCCACCAGTTGACTGAAGACTTAATTATTGGTATATCGATCGGTCCAGCACGGATTGAAATAGGAGCCGGTTCGACAGGAAAAAAGAGCTTTATTTAGTAGAATCCAGCACTAGTTCTTGCAACAAGCCTCATGTAATAAAACAAAACAAAAAACTATGAACAATCAGAACCAGTAACTTAAATGAAAGACTATTTTCTTCAAAATTCCAATCTAATACAAATGCCTTTGTGATGCCCCAAATATCTGACTTCAGACTATTACTAAAACAGTCAGTTTCAGAGTAATCGCTACACTACAAACAGAAATACAATCCTACACTATTCTTGTTTACGTGTGCTCTGTCATGAAAAATGTCCACTCTAGAGTCTAGGATTTAAAATTAAAATATGCAGCCTAGAAATATATGGAAATATATGGCAGTAGAGTAAGTCATTGTTGGTGCAATTTAACCCATACAAGAGGGAGTCAACTAATGAAAAATTTGCACTTGAAAAGCCTCGACACTCCTTTTGCTAGCTCAAAGACAAAGTAATTACACAATCTTGTCCTGCCCAACTAGAAAAATATTTCCTTGAATGAAGTAGATGCAACTTTAAAAGAAATAGAACGCAAGTAAACAAATCAACATTCCATTACATATTTACATATCCAGCGCAAACCCATGCATGCACCAACAAAACATCCTTAATACTGTATCCCTAATGGGTAAAGAGGGGTCTTGTTCTAGCATCTCCAAAGGTACCAAGAAAACCAAACATCTAACTTTACTGCTTTGAGCCATATATCTCTGGAATGGCAATTTAAATATGTTATGACTTATGAGATGTGTCTTCTGATGCCAAGCGACAACGCTTTTCAAAAGCACCGTGAAGATACAGTGATGTTTGAAAGAGTCAATACAATTTCTGAAGTAAATAAAGAAATAGAATGCGAGGTTAATAATTATTCTGTTTGATCAAAGTAAGAAAGCCATTGAAGTATCTGTAGTTAAAAGGTGCATGATAGATTTAGGATGTATCAAGAAACATTAAATAGAAGAATCCTGGTAGACTTATTAATTTCCTTGTTTGGTAGACTTATTACTACCAACCCTTCCATGGACGTTTATCAAATTGGTCTTCCTCTGAGGCCAACCATTATCGTGCATGTGTGTACTATACTGAAAATAAGGTTAAAGAAGCATGCTTTTGGATTGACAAGAACAACATTTTAAATTTAAACATTTCCTAATAGTCTATTAGCGATGTCATCCCGCAAATTTAATAATTTAACTTTAAATTTATTACATTTAGTAAAGAATTCAACTTTATATGTGCTAATATTTGTAGGGAAAACTCATATCAAGTTCAGAAAAATGTGCAAAAGTGACCTGTGAGAAATGCAGAAAAAAATGTCTTAATGCATCCCTAAAACGCAGATATTATCTCCATAGGACACACATATAATATGCCAACAAAATGGACAACAACAAAAATTTGTAGGAAAAAGATGCTAAAAAAATTGGAGCAAGTGACTTTCTACCAGATAATATATGTTGACACAGCCAAAACTTGCATAAAGTGATCATTGTTTATTCATACATCAATTTTGGGAGGCAGCACCTTAGTTCTCGAAAAGGGAGGTTGTGGATCAAATTTTCCAAACTTCTAAATAGCACTAATGATTTCTATGCTTACATCACATATCAAACAAAGAAAAAATCATAAAAACAATTTCAAATGAACACTTTCCGTCCGTACTTTTGTGTAGAAAACCTACCAATCAAGCACAAAAGAATTTTCAACATCTAAAGTCTTTTAATTTACCATACTAGGCTACTAGCTAACCAAAATTCAGTGGCGTATTATCTCTCAGAGTACGGGGAATCAGATAACTTATCAGTACATATGTTTCAAACTTCCAGTTAATGAAGAATGAAATACGGTGAACATATAAAGATGGATTTGCTATTTGCAGCCTTTCACAATTAGGACTAAACTCTTTACGAATTTTAGCACATATAAAGTTGATCTCTTTACTAAATTTGATAAATTTAAAGTTAAAGAAAAAGTATAAAAAATAAAACCCGTATAGAATGAGAGGAAATACCTAGGCGAAGGAGATAATAGATTTCTGGGTTGACCAGCTTTGGCCGGAGAAGGTCGGCGTTTCTCTGGAGACGGGTGTTATTGAAGGTCGCCCCACTCACCTGTTCCCTTAGAGCTTTGGCGGCTAATGATTTGAGGTGTTTGAAATTGATAGGTCTTTGAAATTGATTGTGATCCTAGGTCAATGAAAAGCTGATCTCCAGGCTTCTAAAAAAACTGGATTTAGAAACATTTTGGAGTTCTCAAAAGTATTTATCCACTTTCGGTCAAAACACTCCAGTATCTCTCACTGAAGGAGTAAAAACAATTTTAAAAAACAGATCCAAACATCTCATACGAACTATCTGGAACAATGAAATGTAGAAGAGGATAGGGTTTAAAAATACACTCTTATGTGGCTGATATGTCATATGTGTGAACTGCGTAAGACTATCAAATTTGGACAGAGAGATTAAGTCACATTTGTTGTCAAAGCCATAAGTAAACATGAATATATAATTTACCGATTAAGTAACATTTTCCAAAATACATTAAGGCCTAAGTAAACGGAGCCTAACTCTAATAACCCATTAAATCTTCAATGTCAATTTATACAGTATCACAAGTAGGGTTGTAAACGAACCGAATTGAGTCGAATAATATGATTTTGTATTTGTTTAATTTTTTCGAATACGAATTCAAATTCGAATATGAAACGAATATTATTTTTTATTTGTATTCGTATGTATTTAACAATACGAATAGTTAACGAATTATCTACGAATATCAAATCGATTTAATCATAAGTTAAATATTAGTCAAATGTCACTTTGAAACAACTTTTGCTATATTTCTTATGTTGTAAATGCATGGTATTACTTAATGTATGTTTTTAGGATTTAATTTATAACATTACTTTTTTCTTTTAAATTTAATCGATTGATGCATTTTTAGGTTGTGCACAATATACTCAAGTTAACTAATTTTATGATTACTATACATAAATATATTTCAAAGTTTTTTAAATAAAAAAGTATAGAAATTATACTTATAATGTGTGAAATAAGTTGATAAGTGTATATATCAAAGTCAAATGACTCTAATTTAATATTAGGTATTTAGCATTGTTGATAATAAAAGAACACCATTAGATATATAGTTTAGACTACGCACGTATGTAGTGGGTAGTTGATACACACACATACTAGATAATTGATTTTGTTTATGTAAAAACGAGTATATATTTCATAATTATTTGTATTCGTATTTCAAATATGTTTAAACCAAAAATGATTTGTATTCGTGTTTACATTCTATACTTTCAAATTTCAATCATAATTTATGAATCCAAATCACGAATCGTATAACAATTATTTGTTTCATTTACAATCCATACTCCTTATGATACTTCGGTTTTAATACAAATTGGTTTGAAATGTGTATATGTAAACGTATATATGGGCTACACTTTGAGGGTATAGCTTTTAAAAGTTATTATAGTCTTATTACTATTATCATTACTATTATCATTATTATTAATAATATTAACAATAATATCACTATTATTAATCGAATATATTTGATTAACATTCGAATCGAATATATTGATATATGTATTTGTATTTGATAACCGAATCAAATTTAGTATTCTTATTTGTATTTGTATTAGAATTTTTGGAATTCGAATCGTCTTATACGAATTCGAATCCGGAATCCAGCACAAATTATTTGATTCGTATACAACCCATAATCACAGGCAATAAATCTCTATTAACTAGTCCTGAGGATTCGATTGCAACTCTGGAGAGAATTGACATCGATGAGTCTAACACAGTCAGATTTCCAACAAAAAATTAAATTTGACACTGCAGTTTGAGACGAGATAGAATATTTATTGTGCTACCATGCAAGCTAATCCCATGAGCTAGAAAATCATCATTTTAGAAAATTCTTTCAAAATACTAATTTATTAGCTTTTTGTACACGCCGGATTGTATTTGTCATTTTTTTTGTATGTGAACCAACTTTTTTTGTCTTTATCACAAACAAAAGCAATACAGACAAATAATTATCCGTTGGAAGACAATAAACCGGCTTGTACACAATAGCTAAATGTGCAAACAACAATTTTGAACTCACTATGTAGCCAGATGTTGAGTGTTAAAGTAAATGTAGCTCAATAGCTCGGTAAGTGAAGAGCAAATGGAGCAAGAGTGTAGGGATTGTTGTAGCGGAGTGACGCTTTCGATTGTGTGAATCATAAACTTGGACAGTTCTTATTGGTGACTTCACATTACTATATCTTGTCACTTTTGTTTGTGAGTTGGTGACTCACAGATACACATAGACAAATTAAACATACATATAACTCTGCAAGAAATTTGAATAATAAAGAACAACAGTATCGGACGTTGTTGTGAATAATTAAAAGTACATGGGTTAACTTGAAAAATGTATGTTCATGATATACTTTTTTTATGATATTCATGATATACATTAAAATTGATACATCAATTAAGAATTGTTAATTGATGTATATAACTTTAAGTATTTTAATTTTTTTTAATCATATTTTGATTTTACCTTTTTCACCCATAAGACTTTCTCCCGCTCAGCTTGTAATACATAGGATCAGAGTAACTTCAAAGTTCAAACCATATTGACAGTATAAAAAGCGATTCATAGTGAAGAGTATACCATACTTTTTCATGTTGTTTTTTATGTAGATGAGGTAAAATTTAGTTTTCAAGTGAATGAGATGATTAAAATAATGATTTGAATATCATGATGTCCATTACTGGGAAGGATAAGAGGGACTTTATTATGAAAAGAGGAACACACAGTTTAGAAGCACTTCCACATGGGCACCCACACGTGCATATACACGTGTGTGCCCTTTGCTTTTATATTATTTCTGTAGAAATCGTATCCAGCTTGGGTCTCAAACATAGAGAAATCAAACATAGAAGTATCACACACATGGAAAGCAAAATCAGACATACTATCTGCAGTTCTCCTAATTACTCTCCTACTTCTATCTCTAGCAAGTTGATAATCATGTGAATCATTTTCACTAGAATCAGCATTCTCATCATGCGATTCATTATCATTTGAATGCACATGAGACTCCTTTCTTAGAACTAGGATCCAATTTGTCACCTTGTTTGTGCACATACGCAGCACATCCAAACACTCTAAGATTAGACAAATCAAGGGGTTTGTTTGAGAAAACAGATTCAAGGCACTTCCCACCCAAGGGAACAGAGGGAGACCGGTTAATCAAGTAAACAATAGTATTAACTGCTTCGCCCCAAAACTTTTTAGACAAACCGAAGGTAACAAGCATACCCCTAACCTTATCTAGAACTGTCCTATTCATTCTCTCAGCTATCCCATTTTGTTGGGAAGTATAGGGTACACTTTTATGCCTTCTAATCCCGCAATCAACACAGAGTTGTTCCATATCCTTATTGCAAAACTCTAGACCATTATCTATCCTAAGGGTTTTGACCTTCTTATCAGTTTGATTTTCTAAAAGGTTCTTCCACTCCCTAAATTTCACAAAGACATCAGACTTATGCTCAAGAAGACAGACCCCACACTCTCTAAGTTGAGTGTGAACCATGTTCAACACCCGGTCTTCCGTGTTTTTCTAAAATTCTGTTCAAATTGTTTCCTCGGAAGACCGAACAATCACCATACAAGAATGTGGGATGTGTGCGTTCTGGCACAAGCTGTTTTACCTGGACCAGAACCAGTTGACGTTGCCTCTATTCTATGGACCCATTTTAAAAATGTGGCAACGTCATCCGGACAAATTGTGATCGGGGGCCTAATCACACATCTAGCCACTTTATATGGTTTTGTAGACCCAGGCCCCATTACCCCGAAACAGCTCATTTTCACGTCCTGGCTTGTGCAAAAGACCAAAGATTTGGCTCTATCTCACATGACACCTACCGGGACACCCATCTACAACTGGTATATCATCCCACGTCAAAACATAACTATCCATATCCCGTCCCCTGACGTCCCCCTAGATATCGTGGGCCATGAAATCGGTGATGGTCATCATTACTGTCTCCCCGGGGCAATCCCGGCACACTATGCACAGGATGAACAGGATCAAGAACATGCTGAAGAAAACCCACCCCTGATACCTAACCCACCACAACAACAACCTGATGCTCCATCCTACCAATACTCACCATTCGAGCAACAAATGCTCAATAACATGAACATGATCAACAACAACTACATCCAGCTTCAAGAGCGAGTTGATCAGTATAGAACTGAACAGAGGCATAGCTTTGAGAGGTTAGAGGAACAACGGCAGGAAGACTGGCGGAGATATGAAGAGGATCAACGGCGAACCTTTGGTCCGATATACTCCTATGTAGCACACCAGGGCTCCTTTTCCTCTATGCCCACTCCACCTCCTGCACCATCATGGTATGACCCCTCTCAGTGGGGTTTCTTTGGAGGATCGAGCTCCGGTGGTGGAGGCTACGATGGTGGTTATGGCGGGGATCACATGGATGAGGACGGACACCAAGGTGGAGGTCTAGGCGGACACTAGGGACAGTGTCAGATCCTAAGTGTGGGGGTGCAGAGATTGTTCTGGTATGCTCACAATCCTACTTGTTTTATTTTATTTTCTAAAAAAAAATAGAAAAAAAGAGCTTGTTGAGTTGAAAACCCACAAATGGCAACTCAAGCAAAAATTAAAGCAATAAAATAAAGAGTGAGGTTGTGAGAAATATAAAAAAAATGTGGGAAGCTGGGATGAAAACCTGAAAGGGCACCTAGTCAAAACGAGAGAATGAGAGAAATGTCTATTTTGCAGGATCCTGAAGGTGATAAGTTCAAAAGAGAAATGGAGATAAAGATGAGGTTGAAGACCCCAATTTACTTTAATTATTATTTGGGGATGCTTTGTATTGTGGTAAAAACACTCTTGGATGTTTTGTATTGATATTCTTGTCATTTAGGACTTCTTGGATTTGATTTGATTTACTCGAGATGAGTAAAGGTTTAAGTGTGGGGTTGTTTGATGCACACTAATTAGTAGTGCATAATTACATGTTTTTATGTTTGATTTATGTTAATTGTTTGACGTTTTATTTAGTTTGTAAACATTTATGTGATTTCAGTTGTAATTGTATTTTAGTCTTTATTTGTCAGTTGTAAAGTTTAGTTAGGATTTGTGGTGTTGGAAAGGAAGA